AGTGCTCAATAAATCAACTTATCCAATGAAAAACTTTGCCTCCTGTGAAGACTTGGATATTGGTGCGACGACAACATTTAAATGAGTGTTAAAGAAAGGGGACATGAGGTGTGGGCCCACGATAGGGGGAGATCACGGACGAATTTGGTTTTTATGAAACACTGGGAATTCCTTGACTAGCCGAATGATAACTACATTGATAAGGTTTCTGCTGGATGAAATTAAGCAATATATTACTAATATCAGAAAAAATAAACGGGAAGATAAACATGATACAATTATCTTCAAACATTTCTAACCCTCGCTGAAGGCAGCAGAAGAAAAAAGAATTAATTACTGCGACAATCTGGAAGGAGGAAAGGGCGGGTGGTGTAAAAATTGGAACAGTCGTTTATTTTAATTGCCCTGTCAGGTAGTTAATTACTGATCATATTATATTTCCCAGCGGAAAGGATTTCTGATATTTTCTACAGCAAGCAAAATGTATATAATTTCGTGAAATGGGAAGTCTACATATCAAAGTAAAATTCTACTGGAAATTACACGGCGTAGCGGTCGACAAAAGCAGAGAGTTTGACTTTGGATTAAAATGGCGTCAAGAAGTGACCTACGCATAAAATGACCACTTTAACATAAAGAGTAATACTTCAAAGATTTGTGGTAACTATATGTGCCGCATAGTCTAGCATTTAAAAATTACGCATTTTGGCTATATAGTATATTTATGGGATTTGAGAGATTCTTAGAATACACAAATATTAATTCTTTAAACAGTTTTAATTAATTTGTCTTTGTGACGAAGACGCAGTGTGTTTTCTGTAATGCAGGAAATTAATTTTTAAATATTATTTAGACGAATTTCTGGCTTCAAATAATTATATAGTGCAAATGCCTATTCTTCTTCCGATTTTACTTAAAATAAATAAATAATTTATTTAATCATTGTGACAGTATTACGAATATATTTTACGTTGTTGGTGATCTGACTTTAATTGGATAGACTTGAAATGATTCTGACGATGGTGTACATTGTACTTCTTTTGGCTTGTTTTGGACTTCATCCATCGTCTGGTATGTAAAAGACCACGACGTTTCGGAGACTGGATCACTGGCCCACTGATTGAGACTAGCTCTTTCTAACGGGCCCAACTGAGTAGGTTTATCCTTCCCTACCCACCTGAAGACGGAGACAGATCCAGTCTCCGAAACGTCGTGGTCTTTTGTCTTTTACATACCAGATGATGGATGAAGTCCAAAATAAGCCAAAAGAATTACATCAATTTAATTGGGTTAAAATTACCATAATACTCAAATAAAAGCATGTACAGTATGGAAGACAAAAATGGCGTTTAAAAATCTAAGAAAATGCCTACTGAGAATGGAAACAAATCTTCATATGACGCCAAATATTTATTTAAATATCCTCTGTATTTACGAAAGAATTGATAGTTACGCCCGAAAACACAACTGCACCCTCAAACATACAAAACTCCGTGGTTTTAGTCCTCAAACGAACTATACCGACCGAGCGACCGACGCTTGTCGGCGGAGTCAGTGTCAAATTTAGCGGACAGAGGGTGCCGCGTGGTCAGCGCAACGAATCCGCACGGCCGTTAATTTCGGTTTTCTAGACCGGAGCCGCTATTTCCTTGAAACAGCTCCTCAATTATCCTCACGAGGCTGAGTGGACCACGTTCCAGACCCACTACTTCTCAGAAAAAAAATCTGGTAGCGCCAGGAATCGAACCCCGGCCTCTGGATGTGTAGCCAGGAACGGTGACCACTAGACCACACTCTCAGTGTCCGTAATTCTCCACAGTTTGTGGCACTATGTAACATGAACGGCAGATTCATACAGTTAAATAAAAGACATTAAGAAACATTTTCATGTCTGCAGTGGCTACTATTCAGAACAGGGTAAACTACTCGACCTTTTCCTGTGGAACAAGACTCTACCTAAGTACAGAGTCCGTTTAGTAAAACTATGAAACCAATTATCACTGTACTTGTAGTAGATGGAAACACTGAACACAATGGCATTTCAACAGCTAGCCTTTGCGGATTTCACTCCAAGTGTCTAGAAGTAAACAAGAATAATGTGTATTTCTGACTGCAATATTACTGCTAGTCTCAAGTCGTCAGAAAGTTAGAAATTAGAAGAAAATTGTGGCTTGACAGAGCAGGTTAAGTACAGAGTCGGCCTCTTGCCTTCGATAATCAACGAAAATAATTTATTTGTAAGACTTGAAATGTTCACAGTGGTCATTAAGAAGCCCCCTAAATTGTGACGCTAAGCGGTTCGGAAGTTCACTTACGTTTCGAAGAAACTTAATGACTCCATCGTCAGGTTAGAAAATGAACTCTGACAAGTAATTTGCAAAGAGCAGGCGCAAGCAGAACGGCTACCATGCTCTCTGTCTCATTCTTGCTCATTACTTGTTCGGCTTACTCTTCAGCCCCCAAAATGGAGACAATACTTTCGTCCGAAACGTCGGTGAACTTCTACCGGACATCACAGGACATCACAATCCCGAAAATAGAAATCATCTTGTTTATTTATAACTCTTATTAATTAAGTAACTTTATCTCTGACATTAAGGGAGGAACATAGACTGAGGGTGTTTGAGAACAGGGTGCTGAGGAGAATATTTGGACCGAAGAGAGATGAAGTGACAGGAGGTTGGAGAAAACTGCATAATGAGGAGCTTCATAACTTGTACTCTTCTCCAAATGTAATTACAATCATGAAGTCAAGGAGGATGAGGTGGGCAGGGCATGTAGCACGAATAGGGGAGACGGGGAATGCGTATAGGATATTGGTGGGAAAGCCAGAAGGAAAGAGACCACTGGGAAGACCAAGGCGTAGGTGGGTGAACAATATTAAAATGGATCTTAGAGGGATAGGATGGGATGGTATGGATTGGATTGATCTGGCTCAGGATAGGAACCAATGGAGGGCTCTTGTGAACACGGTAATGAACCTTCGGGTTATAAAATGCTGGGAAATTCTTGAGTAGCTGCAGATTTGGCTTCTCCTCAAGAAGGGCTCAGCCCCATAAGTAAGTATTAATGGAGTTTTCGTTAACTCAAATATATATTGCGTTGAACTGCTGGATGGGATTCAATAACGAATGTGAAAGGAGCTGAAAAGAAGTGGTCGAGGCCTAACATAAGCTACTCTTTAGACACTGCCTTGAACTGAGGCGAACGACGAGTAACCTCTGTCAGGACAGACAGCATTCTGGCCGAAACCCAGATCGAACATACAGTAACTTTACCCCTTCGGCCAGCTTGCTCGGTGAAATTGCATGAAACTTGTCAGGAGGTTTGATTAATTAATTTAAACCACAAATCCTGCAAATGAGTAGAACACGCTTTGTCCCGTCTACCTTTAACCCACAGAGTTCTATCAACATATTGTATCGGTTTTCGATCTGCGGTCTTCCATTGTGTTCCACGCCTCTATCCATTCTCTTGGTGTACGGCTCGCTCATGGGATAATGGGGGTACCCGGTATTCTCTGTGAAACACTTCTGCATATGTTTCCTTTATGTCCTTGAGGTATATCGTGAGTGCTACCTCACATGATACTCTCATGATCAACAAAACGTTTTCACTTATCTCATAAATTCTCACGTCCATCAGCAAAATTTCAGTACAATTATCCACGAAGAGGAAAAATCGAAAGGGTGCAGTTGACAGTATAATTATACCGAGCCTCCTAGGGCGCCAGATTTAACCCCAGTGGACTTCTTCTTGTGGGGTTATGTGAAGAACAGTGTCTACCGGGTTAAGATCAACGAGCTTCAACACCCGAAAGCCTGCATAAGGGCCGCTGTGGCTACGGTAACACCAAACATGCTTCAAGTCTGGATACTTTCGTGCCATCAAGGGAGCCCACATTGAAATTTATTGAGAAAGTTATATACTCAGAAAACACTTTGATAGTTTCCCTTTGTAATGGTGTAACCCATTAATGTGTATAATAAAAGCTTTCTGAGATATAACGATTTTATTTTAGGTACCTTTCATCCGGACATTCTTTATATAAATATCACCATAGTTCGGTGTCCTCAATGACAAACTGACAGTGACTTAGCTGCTCACAGTTTGAACAAGACGGTTCAGCGCCGTGTTCAGAAGAGCCTACAACTGGTCTCTGTCCCGTGCCAAGTGACTCCAGACCACAATGCTGTTTCTCTGAGACAGCTGTCAGCTCTCCTATGGCTACATCGTGGTGCCTGCCCCACAGAGGCCGTCCTTCTGCATATCATGTGATGACGACAAACTGCGAAGCTCGTCAGCCTGCACTTCCCTCCAACCTTCCCTTCTGCCCTCTTCTTACTTCGTACTTTCGGATATTCCCCTCAGCACGGCGTTCTCGAACACGAGCAACCCATACTTTCTTCCTCTTACCATTTCTCCTCTAATGACATATGAAGTTGTTATCAGCACGACAGCGTAGTTGGTTAGGGCACTATGCTCCAAACCGGAAGGTCGGGGGTTCGATTCCTGATGCGGTCATTATATTTTTCAATTGATCTAATCCTTCCAGCCGCACTATGGCCCTCGGTTCGACTCAGCCTCTAACAGAAATTGGTACCAGGAATGTAAGTTTTGAGGTTTTCACGGCGATGACTATGAAGAAAGTCGTCTTCTGGGATTTGGCGCCGTGTATTCTTTGTTTTAGCCGACGTTTCGGAGGAACATATCGCCTCCATCTTCAGGGCAGTAGCTACTGCTCTCTGCATTTGCAAGCCAATTCACCTGCCCTGAAGATGGAGGCGATATGTTCCTCCGAAACGTCGGCTAAAACAGAATACACGGCGCCAAATCCCAGAAGGCGACTTCTTGGTACCAGGAATGTTCCTAGGGGGTAAAGGCCGGCCGGCGCGTAAGGCCTTTTACAAGGATACCTTTACTTTTTTAATTTACTATAACTTGACATATAACTAATACATCCTTTTAGTGAGGATGCATGCCATAAAGACCTGTAGTACCTGTATTCTGGAGGAGGATGTCCCTCGGCAATGCACGGGAGTACCACAAGCTCGTCGCGCCGTGCTTCGATGCTGACAGAGCGATCCGTGAACTGCGGTAGCGTAACCGTACGCGCTTCAGTCACCGTGATCCTAGCCACTCCGGTGCTCACCCTGGTCTCTCCGGACAGCCGATGTGTAACCCGACACTGGTAGGTCGAGTAGCTATCGGAATTCCCAACGTTTAGTACTATCAGCTCTCCAGTTGGCAGCATGTGGAATTTGCCATCTGTAAACATATCAATTCAGATTCTGCAGTCTTGCGGGAAGTTTAGTTTCATCCCACATTATACATTACAACATAATTTATTGTATTTTTACGTCAAGTATTTTATATAATTAATATTATTGTTTCCAATTTTACTAATACTGGAGTTCAGTGGTGTATATTGTATGTTAGCCATGTATTTGACTGATGATGGCAATTAATAGCCGAAACATGTAGCACAGCCAAAACTAGCCACTGACCTCGATATATGTTTTGTGACGGTTTTAATAAAGAAGTTGTAAATTCTGTTGTTGCTCTTGTGTTCGTTGTCGCGGCAACGTTTCTGCCGAGCCGTTGCCTGGCAACGATATATATATATATATATAGAGTGATGGGAGGAATATGTGGAGTACGGTGTTGAGATAGACTCAGGTGCCATAGCATATTTTATAAATATTAGTTCAGCCATTGAAAAGTTGATGTGGGGGGATACACAGACAGCATGGAGATCACATAAGCCTACTTTCTTCTTTTCAAAATAAGGAAAGTAGGCTAATAAAAATAATATTGGCTTATTAAACTGAGAACTGCTTCCATTGCACTTCTTTGACACAGTCAACACTGCTATAAATGTTAATAAGTTTAACATCTTCTGCGGAGTGTTTCCGTATACTTTTCGAGATAAGTTTCGCCAGAATACTGGTATCTATTTAGCAGACTACATTGCCTATATCCCAGGCGACAGCAGCCTCAATATTGCCCTCTCTATTAACATCAACCATCACTGTAATGAAATGGATCCTAGAATTGGCAAAAGATGGAACGAAAGAGTAATTTTACTGGTATCATAAAACTGGAAACTGCTTTATCACAAGGGATCGGGGTCTCTGAGAAACGGATCTCGTTCATGGTTAGATTGTAGTAGGAAACCGATGCAGTGGCGTGTAATACAGTATCTGTTTTCTGCGAGACTAAACATGAAAATCGCTTCATTTGTGGGTATGCGTTTTACTGTAAACTGCAGCTAATCCTCATGTTAAATTTTCCGCTTGACATAATTATAATGACTCAAGGTTTTGAAAAAGAAAATGTAGTGTATAGAGGGACACGCGGTAGCGTAGTTGGTTGAGGCACTATGCTACAAGCCGGAAGGTCGCGGGTTCGATTCCCGAAAGGTCATTGGATATTTTCAATTGACGTAAACTTTCCAGCCGCACTATGGCCCTGGGGTTGAATCAGCCTCTAACAGAAATGAGTACCAGGAATATTCCTGAGGGTAAAGGGCGGCCGGCGCGTAAGGCTGACGACCTTACTGCCATCTATGAGCCTCCACGGCCTGTTACAGGGATATATTTACTTACTTTTGTTTTCGGGAAGTAAGTTCTGCCCTCTCGCATAGACAACCAAATCTGTTTATTAATTTCCCATACGTTCTTTTTTTTCCCTCGGCACTACAGCCCCGGTGGGCTTAGGCCTACCTCCATGAACTTCTCCGTTCATTTCGGTTTTCTCTAGGTCTTAAGACATTCGGTAGGACTCCTTGGGCGGGTGATCAGCTCGCCGCAAGGCCTATATCTGTACACAAACACAGAAAAACGCACATACACAAACTAAACATCCATGCCCTGAGTGGGATTCGAACCCACGATCCCGGTTTCCAAGCGAGAGAAGACAGTACGGGCCATAGACCGCTCGGCTACCGTGACCGGCCATATATTCTTTTACAAAGTTATATTCCGCGAACTGTGATTTTCAAAGCGTAAGGATTCGACAATGAAGAAAGGGCAGTACAGCTGATCGGCTGCTCTGCAGAGTTATATAGCGGTCCAGGTACACGAGTAGCGTCAGATGAAAGGAGAGGAAGTTTGTAAATGATGGACGAACAGGAGTGTGGGAGGAAGCATTCATGACGTATTCCAGGATATTATCCCGGCGTTCGCTCGGAGGGATTAACGATATTAACGAAGATAAGCGTGAACGGCAGTCTTACCGTCCGGTGTTCCAGCCAGCAGCCACTACAGAGTCAGAAGCACTGTTGCACCTAGACCTACATAAGCCGGACAAGCACTGCCATCAAGGCAGGCGTAGTTACAAAACTGCCCTTATTAACTTCACCCCATATCGCTTTGTAACAATTCAACAAGCCCTAAACGAATTTCTATTAAATTTTAAATTGAGGAATATGACTAACATTATTGACATGCAGAATTACTGGGTTTTTGGACTTCTTCCATCGAACAGAAGAATAGAGGACACGACGTTTCGGAAACTAGATCTGTTTCCGTCTTCAAGTGAGAAAGGAAGACACCTACTCAGTTGGGTCTCTCAGAAAGAGCTAATCTCAACGGTCTTCTCTTGTAATTCCTGTTTTCTCTCTTATTTCTCGATTGATTATAGACGTGTGTGATCATTGGCTTCGGCCGCTTTAACCCCCGGAAAATTCCTAGATACCCATTGTGTGGGAAGCTGGGTATATTCCACAACAGTGACGAAAATGAAATTTTCTGACTGAACCTGGAATCGAACCACAAACGTCCAGCTCGTATCAAGCTGACTGAACCATGCCGGTCATAAGAACCGGTAACCTGTACATTGTTAATAATTTCCTAGGCACTGAAGAGTGAAAGTGGATTCAAACCCTAGGGTTCTATAATGCTACTTGCTTGAACACACTAAAACTCTGCATTCTCTCCACAAAGTGTATTTGTATGTTTAGAGTAGCTCTTACAATAAGCAACGTCTGTTTCCTTAAGCAGCATTAACTGGTCGATATTCGCAGCGGAGAATATGTTTCCTGTGAGGTACGGACCGAAGTGATTAAGGGGTTACAGAGGCGACTGTCAGTAGAAGCGATGCGGACATTTATGAATTCATAACAAACAATACTTCGTGACCAGCACTGGTTTTAAAATGCCTAATAATCTGTTGTTGACAGGTATAATTCTGCAAGATTTATCGTTATTTTCGGGTCCGATAATTCTATGACTCTTCTGCCGAATTCGTGCATACGTTTTAATACTTTATATCTGCTTACTTTCATTCCCTGTGCTGCCAGATTTCGTTTCTCGAAAATGTAGGCCTAATAGTTCATATCTACACGACTGTAGTGACATTAAAGCTGGAATAAAACTGTTCTTAGCATTTGAGTGGCTTAATTATCCCCAAAATTTCATTTTATGTCTAGTGACTTAAACTGGTGCTGTAATTTATGTACTCACATACCAGTAAATAGGTATTATGTACATTATGTGTACACCTATGTGTACTGGAGCCGGTCACGGTAGCCGAGCGGTCTAAGGCATGTACTGTCTTCGCTCGCTTGGAAACCGGGATCGTGGGTTCGAATCCCACTCAGGGCATGGATGTCTAGTTTGTGTGCGTTTTTCTGTGTTTGTGTACAGGTAGAGGCCTTGCGACGAGCTGATCACCCGCCCAAGGAGTCCTACCGAATGTGTAAGATCTAGAAAAACCGAAGTGAACGGAGAAGTTCATGGAGGCAGGCCTAGGCCCACTGGGGCTGTAGTGCCAAGAAAAAAAAATGTGTATTGGAAAGCGGCTCTTGGAGGGTAATATTTCTGGAGCATATAAATGACATCCCCTCTACAAGGATCTGGCGTTGAGAATGCGAGAAACATTACGTTCACGTACACAGTGACAAATCCTAAACCTCTGGAGGAAAGAAATTCCCACTTTCCTTACTGAAAAGATGTCTCCTTTTGTTATACTTTCCGCGACTGAATGTTGGCACAAAGGTAGTCTTGGTATATTAACTTATAGCATAAAGTTAACACTGTTAGTGGCTGGACCGGAGATGCAATAGGATATGTGTTACTAGCCAATGATCGAACAATCAGGTGGTTTTAGAATTACATGAAGTGTATTGCAGGTTCTCAAGGGACTCTTTAGTCCGCGATTTGATTCTTATACACATACGCAACAGCACGCGGGCTTAGTATAATGCATTCATTGAATAAAAAGGAGGAAGATGTTTGCATAAACACGGGCGCTCCGACACTTCCTTCACAAGCAATGTTAATCAGAACAAAATACAATTTTTACTGCACATAAATTTCATTGAACTTCATAAAACTACCAATGCATCAACTTCTGATAGAACCGAAATATTCTGGCCTTACAGGAACGAAAAAAAATGAGATTTCAATTTTAGAATCATACGATGTGGAGAAGAGAAAATTCTTGATCCAACAGGGACCCGAACTCCGACCCCTCGGTCGTCCAGCCCATAGCCTGTCGCTATACCAACTGAGCTATCCCGGCTTCTCATTGCTTATATGCCCTAACTTTATTATTGTGTTGCTGTATGAAACTTTGATACGTTTATTCTATTATGTGTATAGACAATTATCTGCTACAGAATTCTATAAGGCATCTCCGCACCATTAGTAACATTACTCGCGAAAAGAATTTCAGTCGCTTTATTCTGTTATAGGAAGAGCAGGAACCATTGTCTTTATAGGAATTCTTTTCTTGTATTTACCCACATAACTAAAGGTAGGAAGATTTTTGCTGTATTACCTGTAAGAGTCTGTATATAAAAAGCTTAATTTAGCTATTCTATCTTTATACATTGTGGCATGTAAATCCGTTGCTAGGCAACAGCCGCAAAATAAGCAACTGTAAAACAGCCGTTTCTAAGTAACGGCTCCACCAATAGATATGAGTGCAACAAATTCACTGTAACAGATTTGTTTCGTGAGTCTAAAAGGGCTTGACGCCAAGTCGAACCGATTGGCAGTAAACCGCTAGTCGTAAAGTGACTCTGACTCTGGAGACAGAGTTAGTGTCAAGTTAACCGACAGACCGACCGAGAAAGTCAGTCAATCGAGAAGGAGTCTGCAGACAGTCAGTCAGTTGGTTGGTGAGTTTGTAAATTTAGTTAGTTAACCTCTGGTGTTCAGTCGTTGTGAGAAGCTCGTTCCTGAGGCCAGGAAAAATTAGGAAACGCAGAGGAAGGGGAACACCCGCCGTTGGAAGCCGCTACCGAGCAACAGCTAGTGAAG